GTTTATTCATATTCTTTTGGTGATTTAACAGTACATAACATTAAAACTTGGGTTACATTTTCAAGTGTTTTTCTTTTTCAGACACAGTTTGTTCTTCTTATAATTATATCTGGTTTAATCCTGTATCTACAGTGTAGTATTTCCAGTTATCTGTACATAAGAGTCAGGATGCATTTCATTGACATAAGTTAAATGGAAAAACTGTCTAAATGTTGCTGTCCTTCCTGATTGACTTAAGGACCATCTAAATTCACCCCAAGTTGTTTTTATTAAATTAAGTAAATTGGAAAACTAAGGGCTATGTGAATGAATTATCAGTAATCTATATATTTAAGTATCTTAAGACAAAAATGGTATATTGGGGGTTTTGTTTTTGCTTTATTTTTAATAGCTTTATTAAGGCATCATTTAAATGCAATAAATTCACTAAGTATACAGTTGGTGAATTTTGGTAATTGTATGCAATCATGTAACCTTTACCCCAATCAAGATACAGAATATTTCCATCACCTTGAAAATTTTATTTGTGGTTCTGTATGCCCTCAGTCTGCAGTCTCCAACCCCCAGTCCTTGACAAGTATTAATCTGTTTCCTGTCACTATAAATTTTGCCTTTCCTAGAATTTCATACAAATTGAATCATAGAGCATATGGTCTTTTGTGTTTGACTCCTTTCACTCCACATGTCTTTGAGATTTATCTATGTTGTGTGTGCTGTATATAGTAAGCCTTGAAATCAGAGAGTATAAGTCTTATATCCTTGTTCTATTTAAGGATGGGTTTGGGTATTCCAGGTCCTTTACCTCTCTTTGACTTTGCCTCTCCAAAGGCCTGCAGAGATTTCTGTTCGAATCTGTAGGTAAATTTGGGAAGAATTGGCATCTTAACAGTAATGAGTTTTTCAGTCTGTGAACATGGTATCATTATCCATTTATTTTGGTCTTCTTTAATTATCCTTTGCAGTGCTTTATAGTTTTCAGCATACAGATCTTGTACATCTTTCATTAAATTTAACCCTAAATATTTTTTATGCTATTGTAAGTGAATTTGTAGTCTGTGACCTAATTTCACTTATTAATAGTTGTTTTGTAGATTTCATAGGATTACTCATGTATAAGATCATGTTATTTGTAAATAAAGACCATTTTTCTCTTCTCTTTCCAATCTCTATGCCTTCCCTTTTTCTTGTGTTATTACCCTGACTGTACCTTCCAGTATAATACTGAATTGAAATGGTAAAAGCAGAAATCCTTCTTTGTTCCTGATCTTAGGTAGAAAACATTGACTGTGATGTTACCTGTAGAATTTTGTAGATGCCCATAATCAGGTTTAAGAGTCCCCTTGTATTTTTAGTTTGTTCGGGACTTTTATCATGAATGGATGTTAGGGGTTTTTTCTTTTTTCTTTTTTTGTTTTGTTTTTGTTTTCTTAACATGGTAAATTATATTGATTGATTCTTGGCTGCTTAAATCAGACTTAAATTCCTGGAAATCAACTCCAGTTGTTTTTTATTATTATCCTTTTTATATATTGTTAGGTTAAATTCCCTAAAAATTTTTTTAGGAGATTTTGCTTCTATGATTGAACATTAGAAATATTAGTCTGTAGTTCTGCTTTCTTGTTTTGTGTTTGTCTGGGTTTTAGAATTAGGGGATAGCATTGGCCTTAACACATGATTTGGGAAGATTCCAGATAAGATTGCTATTCTTCCTTGAGAATTCACCAACGAAGCAGTCTAGACCTGGAGTTTGGGGGGTGGGGGTGGGGATGGCGGGGTTATGAATTTGATATAAATAGTAGATATGGCAGTATCCAAAATTTCTGTCTTCTGGGGGTTTTGTCATTTGTATCTTTTGAGGAAATTTTTCCAGCGCATCTATCAAAGTTGTCAAATGTATTGGCATAAAATTGTCCAAAATATGGCCTAATTCTCTTAATGTTTGTAGATTTTATAGTGATGGTCCCTCTTATTTGATTTTGGATAATGTGTCTTTTTTTCTTCATGAGTCTGGCCTAGAGGCTTATCACTTTTATTATTTCATTAATCAGCTCTCATGATCTCATGTTTTTATATTTCATTGATTTCTGCTCTTTATTCTTTTCTTGTTTTGAGATTTCTGATTTGATGTAGGAACTAATTTCACTAATTTTGTATTTTTTGCCCCTAGTATAAGCACTGAAAGCTATCAGTTCCTAGTAAACACAGCTTTAGTTGCATCCTACAGATTTTAATAATTTGTATTTTCATCATTCCATTCAGAATGTTTTTTAAATTTTTCTTGATTCCTTCTTTGGCCATGAATTATATAGAAACGTATTGTTTTTACTTTCCAAATACTTGGGGGTTTTCCTAGTTATCTTATTGTTAGTTGACTTCTAATTTAATTCCATTCAGAGAACATATCTTGAATTTCAGTCTTTTAAATTTATTGACACTTATTTTATGACCTAGCACATTCTGGTGAACTTATTATGTACACTTGAATGTGTATTTGTCATAATTAGGTATCATGTTCTTTAAATGTCACTTATGTCAGGGATGATAATGTTCAGATCATCTTGTCTTTGCTTATTTTTTTCTGGTTATATTGGTTGCTGAGAAGGGTGGAGAAAAAAGTTACACCTCTAATGGCAGGTTGGGTAAGGGAATAATTACAGAGGGACGTGCATACGAGGATAGTAATTTGTGACCATGTTTTATAACCTACCACAGGGTTCATTTTACCTCTCCTCTGTTTTTGTATATATTTTAAATTTTCCATAATAAAAATTTCAAAACCAAAACCTCCCAGGTAATAAGATGTTCCATATTTCAGAGGGGTACATGCCACATGCAGATACATAAAAAATATTTAGGATTTCTGTTTTATTTTCACCTCATCATTTAAAGAATTATATTTTGGCATATGTTTTATAGTGCATGGTATATCCAGTAGTCATATATATAATTTTAAAAAATAAATACCTGTGTATGGAGGAGAAATTTTTATTTTTGGCTATTCTTGTTTAAAAATAGTTTCATCCCAATGGAGATGTCAGTTTTGTTCCAGAAGTCATGGTATCATTTGGATAGTCTTGTAAACTTTATCAAAAATTTCACATTAAAAATTTTTGTGTGATACTCATTTTTAAATGTTTTGTCAGGGTTTTAATTATGAGGTGTTTTTATACTTTTAAAACTTTTGCTGTCAGAACTTAAATTTTTAAGTTTCTGTTTCAGAGAAGGCTGTACCTATAATCCCAAAATTAGACACGTCAGCACTGTGAGTTTAGAAGGAAGCAAAACAATCTTAACCAGAAAAGAGGCAGAAGAAATAGTGTCTTAAGTTTGGTTCCCTGTGTAAGTATGAAATCAATAGCATTTACTATTAACCAGTAGTAAAAAGGGGGGGCAGGCAGTAATGTATTATCTGCCCTTATTTTTCCTCCTGAAAACCTTATCCTTTTCCATCTGGAATGTTTACTTTAAGAATCATTTGAGATAAGAAAAGCAAAGGGAATAGTCTGATTGGTATATAGAAAATAAATTAAGTCAGTTACACAAAACCTATACTGGCCTCAATTCCCTTCTCAACCCCATCCACCCAACCTCTATTCCATGTTAAGAACAAAGAGAAATCACAAAAAACACATTCAAAGTGTTTTTTAAAATTTACAGTTCTCAGACTCATACAATTTAGTTTTTTGCCCATTTGGTACTATTAACTTTCTCATATTAGAAAATGTTACATTATAAGTTTTAGTTTTGGCACTCTGTATATTAAGAATCTATTTATGTTTGTGGATTTGAAAGAATATTCTTAAGGGCTTTTTAAAAGTGAAAACCACTATTAACATTATAAGGTGATTATTTACTGTATCATAAGGCAAGAATTGGACAGAGTTTTTTTGGAGGTTTAAATACATAATGTTTTTTGGAGGGTTTTTTGTTTGTGTGTAAACCTTTAGATAATCAAAAACTTGACTACATCTCCCATTTCTTGAGCATAATGTGATTAAGATTTTACTTAATCTAAAAGCAACTTTACAAAATCTAGTAACATCCATATTAAAAAACAATTTCCAGTTAGGTCTCTTTTACCAGCCAACACCATTAGGTAGGAGAATTAAATTTCTGGCTTTTAAAAGTAGGGTTTATTTATTAAAGTAATACAGACAGTGATACATTAGGATATTAGCAAGTTATTTGGCAGAGATCTCCCTCATGAGATCCCTTGAAGACCAGAACTAAGAAACATGGACTGAATGATAATACAATTAGACTGATTTGTAATTTATTTAACTCAATAAACACAGATTGAATTCTTGTCATCTAGAAGGATGTAGCATTCAATCTGTTTTTTTTAATCAGTAATTTAAATGAGGACATAACATGTTGCATTGTCTTTAGTTCACAGATGATGTGAATCTGGGACACATATTTTGATAAATTAGGTGACATTTGTTTAGAAAACAAAATGATCTTGATGAGTTAGAAAAAACTATCTCATTAATAAGATATCTGTTAATAAAATGTAAACTCTTTTACTTTGCCCCCCCAAAAGATAATTTAACAATATATCATAAAAAAAAGAGGTTCCAAAGCACATCTAATGACATAGAAGATATTTCCCATTATATTTCAAAAAAGCAAGATTCAGAATTCACAATCGGATCTTAATTTTGTTAAAATATATATATTAGAAAGTATACAGCAGTTCTGGATGGTATGATTAGGAGTGTTTTATTTTGCCTTTCTATTTCCAAATATTCTACAGTGAGAATGGATCTTAAATAAGACATGCTGAAGATAAGTATGTTTAATGTTTTTGAACCCCGTATGTGTAGTCTGAGCACGTGTTAACATTGTCACAATAAAAATCTCCTCCTCTTTTATTTGTCTGTAAAAATAGTCACCATGGTACAAAAAGTCAGCATCAGCTGCAGTGTTCTCAGTGGGCTAATGTTTTCTCACTCCCCTACCATGAACCCATTGTTTTCACTTTTTTCTCTTTATCAAAGGTTGAATTAATAAAGGGGAATTTACAAAGTGTCGGACTTACACTTCGTCTTGTCCAGTCAACTGATGGGTATGCTGGGCATGTCATAATTGAGACGGTGGCGCCAAACTCGCCTGCTGCACTTGCAGATCTTCAGCGGGGAGACCGACTGATTGCTATTGGAGGTAATTATGCTAATATGAAACACACATCACATTTATAGAGAAATCAGTGAGCAAATGTGCGAGTTTTCCCTATCTTCATTCTTTCTATGAGCACATGTTACTTTTATAATGGAAAGAGAATAACTTTATTAAAAATAAAAATCTGAAGGAAGCCTTAATTTACAATACATATGCCATTTTAGTCCTTATGTATAAATCTGTAAAATACTTCATTTTTAGACCACTCTTCGGTAAACTTCTCTAATTTTCCTTTCCATCCCATCTTCTATTCCTCTAGTGTTTAATGAATATGAAAGAAAGGGCAGGTCAACAGTTCCTTCTGTATAACCACCTAACTCCTCTGGGCCTAAAATTGACAGTATTAGCACTATGACCCCCATCACTTAGGACTAGATAATGAACAGGAGAGAGACTAATATTTCTTGTCCAAGAGGGCACACTTGAACTGTCCTGTGGCCCCATATTGATGGCTCTGTATTGTCCCTGGTTGGCCAGCCATTTGTTAATATGCAGTCATTAGAGTACAGCCCAAATCACTATTGCTAGTGGAAGAATGTGTCACCTGTATGCCTTCCTATCAGTTGGATTGAGAACTACATAAGTTCTGTTGATAGGCAGATTATTTGCTTGGATGTTTATGAATAAGCAGTAGGACTCCCTGTACACACCAATGGGGAAAAAGTCCAAACCTTTTCAGACCTTTGTAGTACCTGCCCCGTCCCCCCATTCTAGGTTTGTCAAGAGATTTCTTGAACACATGGTTGGTCACAGCTGAGCTTCCGAAGACAATGTGGTATATTCTTTCACAGCTAAGATAATAAACAGCAAGGTAGGTCAGTTCCCAAAGCAAGGAGTTTTCTTTTTTTTTTCCAAGATTTTATTTTTATTTATTTGAGAGAGAGAATGAGCAGGGGTGGAAGGGTAGAGGGAGGGACCGAGAGAGAGAGAAGCAGACTCCCTGCTGAGCAGGGAATCGGACGTGGGACTCGATCCCAGGACACTGGGATCATGATCTGAGCCGAAGGCAGACGCTTAACTGACTGAGCCACCCAGGCGCCCCTCAAAGCAAGGAGTTTTCCTTTGTTACATGTTAAAGCTTTGATTCAAAGCCATCATGACAGTAAAATAATGAAAATCATTTAGTTGCACCCCTGGAAGCCCAACTAAGTCCATATTTTCACATGGAAATCCCTTTGATAGGTCATAAACAGTGCTTCTCAAACCTTCTGACTGTATTCCAGTCACCCAGACATGGTGTTAAAATAGGGATTCTGCTTCAGCAGACCTGGACAGGGGCCCAAGATTCTGCATTTCTCACAAGCCCCCAGATACTGCGGCTCTTTGTAGGCACTGAGGATGGCAGAGCCATGAAACAGACCTCCTCTGTTACGTAATTGTTTAACAAACATAGCAGTTACTCCCCCTCAGCCAAAAACTAGAATTCAGTATAAATTTTTTATATCCACACATACCTTTGTTCTGGTTTTACCTACAGGGTATTTTTTTTTCTTTTTTATGTCCTTTTATGGGAAGGTTTTTGTTTTCAGTTACACATGTAGTAAATATTCTCAAAAATATCTCTTCTCAAAAAGAAAGCAATATAAATGTGTACAGATTGGAAAAAGTAAAGGTCACCCCTTTATAGCTAACATTTATAAAAACAAAGTACTGAGATAAGGGACAGGTATAATACTTATTTTTTATACCTATAATTTGTTTATATGGGTATATAATTTTTAAATATTTAATAATGGGATTGGTGATAGTTGAAATAAGATTAGCAAAATGCTTATTATATTTGAAGCTCAATGATGGAGTTCATTTTTCTTCTGTTTCCTCTAGTTTTGTGTGTATTTGTAACATTGCAAAAGAAAAGGAATCCAGATTTGGCCAACTAGTCCTTAGAGGAACAGTGGTTGTCTCCCCAAAGTTCCTGGTGGTTGGGGAAGAGATGAGGCCAGGTGTTAAGTCACAGGGAATGAGTTTAGATTGAGTTGAAGTTTTCCTGCAGCTCAGTAGATGGACTTATTTTTCATTTGTATGTATGTCAGACTACAATTTTGTTGAAACATAGTGTGGTTAGAGGGAAAGAGCAGGCTGGATGAATCATGGAGAGAGCCACATTAGAAAGCCCTGGATTCCAGTGTGATGAGTTTGTACACTAAAGGTTTTTGAGCCAAAGCTTTAGGAAAATTGGGGAGCAGTATGTTTGATGATTAAAACAGGGAAGATCTGAGGGGTCACAGCAAGGAGCTGTGGATTCTTGGAACTGAAGCCAGTGACCACGTGGATCTGAACAGGGGAGGAAAACGACTAGAACTCTGACAAAACTGAGAGCTGCTGGGATCGAGGGGGTCAGCTGTCTCTGAGGTGCAGATTGGGTTAATTGGGAGGGTGGCAAGTTAATTCACATAGGGACAGGAGAATGAGAAGATCAGAGAGGGGTTTTAACTAAGCTGAATTTGTTACGTCAAGGAAACATCTAGGTGCTGATCTCCGGAAGTAGTTAGGGATGTAGGAATAGTGTGAAGAAGAGGGGAGACCAACCAAAGAAAAAGTTGACGGTTGCAACCACTGAGGTGGTTGTGATCCAGGGAGAGAGCAAAAAGGGAGAGAACTAGGGCATATAAAAACCATGGGGACGTTTGGTACAAGGGGCAGATATGGATGGAGAAAAAGAAAGCAGAGGTGGTCAGAGCCAAATTAGTAGTACAGTGTCATGAAAACCAAGAAAAAGGTTTTAAAGGAGAAGAAGGAAGGGAATAAAGATATGAGCCAGGATAGCTGATGGAGCAAAGTCCTGAAGGAGATGGGGAATAGGATCCAAAGTACAAGTAAAGGCTACTTCGTCCTCGGAGATAGGTTCATACTAAAAATGACTGGCCAGGAGAAAAGGGGGCTGCTTGTTGATCTCTTCAGTAAATAAGGAGAGATCACCTGCAGAATAAAAGACAGTAGGGAGGGTGGGCTTCAGGGGAATAGGGAGGGTTTGAAGCTGGGGTTTTAGAGACTTAGTTGTTTAGAGACCAGAAACAATTCAAAAGAATGCCTTGCTGAGGATGGCCAGTGTCAGTTAGCACTAGGTAACGGTGGTAAGCCCAGGAGCAGAAAAAGGAGATGGGGCTAGCAAGCTGGGATCAGAAAGCCAGATAGACAGAAGAGGAAAGCGCCAGGGCAAAAGAATCCCAAATCTTGATGTGAGTGAACATCAGTGAAATCTTGAGACTAAGGTTGGGGAGAAAAGCAAGTGGTGTTAGGAGACCAGTTGGACCAGGACAGCAAAGGAGGAATGATTGGGCCTGGAAATGACCTCAAAACAGATTCAGTTAGTAACAAACAACATTGTAACGAGGCGGGAAATAGGAGATTGTGAGCAGAGATTAACTACAAGTGAAGGACCTCTGATGTGGAAAATTCCAAGTGATAATCAGGTCTAAAGCATGATTTTGCCTGGGCAACTGAGGTAGGAGAGGATATAGGTTAAGGAACTCTGAAGTCAGGTTGTTAGATGGGGCTGATGTTACTCTGATTTATTTAGGGTGGTCCTAAGACCTTTGGAAAGCAAAGACCCCTTCTCACCTTTTTCTAAGTCCTACAGAAAGGGCTAGCTTGGGTAAGTACTGTTTGGGGGAAGGTGGGGGAGGGCAGGAAACAAACAGAGCCTTTAAAGATAACACCTAGAGTATCTCTAGAAGACTCCACCAGAAGCTGCTAGCTTTGACTGCCTCAGGGAAGGGACAGTGTGGTTGGGAAATAGAGGTGGAAGGGAGATTTTTCATCTACATTTTTCTGTACCTTTTGAATTTCAAACTGTGTTAATGTAGCCACCTATTAGAACATAATAAAATGAAAATTTAAGCTGATATTATCGATGCAGATAGTAACCAACTTGTTTAACTTTAAAGCAATTTATGCTTTCCTTGTTCTTTCTGGTCCTGATAAAAAGATTAGTTTGATGGGTAGGGCTAATAAAAAGAATATGTAAAAGAGTCCGCTATTCATAATACAGTATTTTGCTAAGTTTACTTCAAGCATTGGTCTCTGAATTTGATCATTCACCACATTTCTGTATTGCTTTTCCATAATCATAAACTAAGGGCAGTTACATTCAGCAAACTTAAGTGATTTTCATTGCAGTAATTTACATGTTTTCCCTTTTAAAATCTTACAACAGGTGTGAAAATCACATCTACCCTGCAAGTGTTGAAGCTGATCAAGCAGGCTGGGGACCGGGTCCTGGTGTATTACGAGAGACCTGTCGGCCAGAGCAATCAAGGTACAGCACTGCAAGATAATTTTGGGCAGTTGGAAGAAAACTTTCTGTCAAGCTCATGCCAGCCAAACTATGAAGAGGAAACCACTGGGTTGGCAGTAGATGCTGAAAATAGAGATTTGGATTCTGAATTTGAAGACTTGGCAAGTGATGTCAGAGCACAGAATGAGCTCAAAGATGAGGCTCCGTCAGTAAGTCACAGCCCCAAACGTACTCCATCAACACTTTCTGTTAAACCCCTTGGAACGATATCACCAGTTTTAAACCGTAAATTAGCTGTAGGAAATCACCCACCACCACCAAAACCTCCATGTAAAGAGGGAAATAAACCCTTGGCCCTAAAAGCTTCTGAGTTAACGGACCCAACACAAGTGTCAAAACCCACCCAGGGATCCACTGTCAAACCACTCGTGCCACCACGACCACAAGTGAAAGTTCCTTTGCCTTCTGCCGACACCCCAAATCAGACAGAACCCGATGTTCTCCCTGAAAAGCCGGAAAAGGTGCTGCCTCCTCCTCCTGCGGATAAACCTGCTGAAAAGCAAGCGAAAAATATGGATCATACAGAAGATGTAGCTGCATCTAAGCCGTTTTTAGCAAAGCAAGAAGTGGCGAGAGATTTTACTTCAGAAAGTTCCTGCCCTCCTAAGGACAGTTCAGATGACCCTCAGACGTGGGAATCATCAGAAATTCCTTACCGTAATAAGCTAGGAAAATGGACAAGAACCAGAGCAACCTGTTTCTTTGACATAGAAGCCTGCCACAGATACTTAAACATTGCACTGTGGTGCAGAGATCCTTTCAAGTTAGGGGGTCTTACCTGTTTGGGGCATGTCAGCTTAAAACTTGAAGAGGTGGCCTTAGGATGCCTGGCCACGTCAAACATGGAATACTCTTCAAAATTCAGACTGGAAGCCCCCTCGCCTAAGGCAATGGTCACGAGAACCGCACTACGGAATCTGAGTATGCAGAAGGGATTCAATGACAAATTTTGCTTTGGTGACATTACCATTCACTTCAAATATTTGAAAGAAGGGGAACCAGACCACCCTACAGTTACTAACTTAGAGAAAGAAAAAGAACTCCATTTGGTCGAAGAGGTTTCTGCCCTACCTAAAGAGGAACATTTTGTTGGACAGATGGGTTTAACAGAAAATAAACATAGTTTCCAGGATACTCAGTTCCAGAACCCAACTTGGTGTGATTACTGTAAGAAAAAAGTGTGGACTAAAGCTGCTTCCCAGTGTATGTTCTGTGCTTATGTTTGCCATAAAAAATGTCAGGAAAAGTGTCTAGCGGAGACACCTCTTTGTGGAGCAACTGATAGGCGGATAGACCGGACCCTGAAAAACCTCAGGCTGGAAGGACAAGAAACCTTCTTAGGCCTGCCTCCTCGGGTTGATGCTGAAGCTAGCAAGTCAGTCAATAAAACAACAGGTCTGACAAGACACATCATCAATACGAGCTCTCGTTTGTTAAATTTGCGCCAAGTCTCTAAAACTCGCCTTTCTGAACCAGGAACTGATCTAGTGGAACCGTCACCAAAACACACACCCAACACATCAGACAACGAAGGCAGTGACACCGAGGTCTGTGGTCCAAACAGTCCTTCTAAGCGGGGAAACAACACAGGAATAAAGTTGGTGAGGAAGGATGGTGGTCTGGACGACAGTGTTTTCATTGCAGTTAAAGAAATCGGCCGTGATCTGTACAGGGGCTTGCCTACAGAGGAGAGGATCCAGAAACTAGAGTTCATGCTGGATAAACTGCAGAACGAAATTGACCAGGAGCTGGAACATAATAATTCCCTTGTTAGAGAAGAAAAAGAAGCAACTGAATCAAGGAAAAAATCCCTTCTTTCTGCTGCTTTGTCTAAATCAGGTGAAAGACTACAAGCTCTAACACTTCTCATGATCCACTACAGAGCGGGCATTGAAGATCTTGAATCTTTAGAAAGTCTGTCTTTAGACCAGCACTCCAAAAAAATAAGCAAGTACACAGATGATACAGAAGAAGACCTCGATAATGAAATAACCCAACTAATAGACTCCCAGCCATTCAGCAACATATCAGAGGACTTATTTGGCCCATCAGAGTCTGTTTAACAGCCTATTTAAACTGTCCAAGTGATTGGGGAAAAGTTGCATCTTAAGTACCACAGATAACCCACATGTAAGCCCTCTTCTAATGCACTTCGGCCTGCTTCTCCACAGCCATTTGCTTGTGTAAGAACAAGAGTGAAAGGAGGTTGTTTTCCAGCAAAAACATGACCAGCTCACTAAATTGGTTGTTTCAGATTGCATTTATAGCTATGCGTTTTTGGGTTTATACTGGGAATTTATTTTTACTAATTTATTTTTAACTTTTTCTAATTATGTAATTATGTAAGCTAACTTTTCATATTTATGTGTACGTGTGATGTCTCATTGTGTTACTTTCCTTCATCTTAGTTTTGAATGAGTGTTAAATAGGATACTGTCCAAATTCTTGAAGTCTTTTCATTTCCATCACGGTTATAACAAGTTTGCTGCATGCCCAAATTGACAACGGCAATCATTGAGGGAACAGGTTTTGAATCTTCATGTTAGGAAGTTTGTCATCTCTACTTGCTTGAAATTTTTGTTACTTTGGGGTTTTGAGGGTGGTTTTTTGTTTTTGCCAAATGTAACATAAAATTTATGCAGATGCTGCGGCTTTAGTCAGTTACACTGATCAGTAAAAAAAAAAAAAAAAAACGTATATTGCTTGCTTTCTATCCTGTGAATTTTCTAGTTTTTGTGCAGTTTTAGTGAGAATACAGTTATTAACTTGAAGAGGTTGCATTGACAAACCAAATGTAATAGGAAATAGAGAATGCAGTTGGTCAAGAATTTTGTAGAGAAGATTACTAAAAAAAAACAGTAACCAGTAGGATTTTGAAATAAAATCTTTCGAAATGGGGATGCTTTCTCCTTTTAAATGGAAGTTCTGAACATTTGATTTTTTTCATCTTCAGTTCTCCCATGGGAAATAAAGCATGTCAAGGATAAAGTTTCAGAGGACTGTTCTTAAAATGACCGTGTTGATAACTGGGTTTGGCTGTTTTGTTTTAGGAACATTTTCATGCAGGAGGATGTCGTAAAGGAAAGGAATCATGCAAGATAGATTGACATGCTGCAGGTTGAAGGAATGGTGGTCATTCTGAACACATCTATAGTTCAGTCTTTTGTTTAAAAAAAAATAAAAACAGTATAGATACGTAGGAATTGGGATCAGTTCTCTGATAATAAAGATCTATTCCAATACTCGGTCCACTGTGTGGACCCCAGTAACATGTGACTGAGGGAAAACGTGTGAGCATGACCTCTGTTGGTATACCATGAAAGTCTTGGCCTTTTATAGGTCTATTTTCCTCTTATAGGTAACTACTGTGATAAATGACATATACTAAAGATTGACATGAATTTAAAGGTAGGTGGGACAGTTTCGATGGCCGGCAGGAAGAGGCATAGTGTAAGATGTAATAGTGAGGGTTCTGGCCCAGGTTTAGAGCCCAGAACTCCAGGCAAGAGTTAAAGGTCAAGCTCTTCACTGGCCATTAATGAACTTTATAATCACAAGAGGCTTCCATGCCGCAGTCTCCCCAGCTCCAAAGTAGGAATAAACAATACTTTAACTACCTCACAGGATTGTTGTGAGGAGAACAACAGAACTGCAGAAGTGTTCTGAACAGTAAAAAGCTATTCAAGAAAAGCTATGACTCAGATGGGGGACAAAAACATTTTTGAAGGTAGAGGAGTTATTCTACTTTTATTAAGTGAACTTTAGGAAGTACCTTTATTGGCCAAGTTTATAACAAAAATAGATCTGTGTATCCCCTTTTTTGTGTTAAGCATGTTTGCATTTTAAAAGAACACTGCTGTAGAGGTCTTTATACACCTACTCTGAAAGCTAAAAAAAAGTTCTGTAACGTGCTTGAAACAATCTGCCCAATGTAATAACCAACTTTTATCTTATGAAAAATAACTTACCGGTGATGACCTGGAAGGCCAGTGTCTGTAAGTGGCTGGTGTGTATGGATGGATGACACCACAGGAGTTTTAGTGACATCCAAGCATGCTGCTGAAACCGATGCGTTTGAAAGAGCTGCAGAAATAACGCAAAATTTTGGTTCATAAAAATCTCCTGTTTTAAAAGTATTTAACTCTGTAGAACCACAATTATGAAAAGCTCAGTAATGCTGCTAATGATATTTGTAAAATCTACCTTTAATGTAGTGCAATATTTTTCTATCTACTCGGACAGGCATTAGAAGCATCACAGTTGTGCTTTAGTGTGGGGGAGGGGGGTCACTCCAAATAGCCTAGGGGGTAGTGAGGTGTGAGGCTTCCATGAAAACAGTTGTATTCTATTACATTCCTGATGTAATCTTGCTGCCATGCTATGTTATCAATAGCTAAAAAATAATAAAAAGAACTACCACAGAAAACAAGAATATCTTCATTTGCTAACATCTGAAAGAGGTGATTGCTACATCTCTGGAATTACCGCCTGCTAGAATTTGGCCATGCAAACAAGCTCTTCACAAAGTCCACTTTTGCTAAACAAAATTGCTCTTTTGAAATTTGCCTAAAAGCATTAAATTCTGGTTTTACTGTTGTTTTTTCTAAGCTGTGAAATCTCAGATATATGGATCGGCCCTGCTATTTATTAGGAATTAGACTATTTTCTGTATTTCTGGTATTTAGGTGAGGTGAAGAACTAGGTTAAACAATCACGCTAAACAATATTTTAGCATTATTTTGGAATCAGAATTAATATGCTACATTTCCTAATATTAAGTCCTATACTCAAGTATCAGAATAGGTGAAATACTATTGGCTATTTTATGATTTGAGAAGAGAAAACAAGCTGAAAATTGAAGGGTACTGTCAAGCTCTAAATTTATCTCGATTTTTTGAAAGGCAGTTTGAAAATACTTGGCTCCTGATAACAAAGATCTTAATTTCCCTAAAAGTGAATAAATTTAAAATCACTTTGAAAATGTATTATCTTTTTTTCTAAATTGAGGTAATAGCTTTCTTTTAATAGAAGGCTTGGGGAAGGTTTAGAGCCCCTCTAAGATCAGAGTAAAACTGCGATTCTCGTGCCTGTGAGTCTCATGCCTGAAAGAGACGTACGTACACACCCTGAGTTGTCTAGATTCCAGGGCCCTGTGGGCTCACCATGTGGAAGAGCTTAGTTACTTCCATCATATATGGTTATTTGTTCACGACAGTCAGGAAAGCAATTTAACTTTAGAAATGCAAGGGTAACTTAACTGGGCTTTTTCCACATTGACACCATGGGACTAGTTACAGATTTCAATTTAAAGCCAATTTTGCAAAGCCAAAAAGTAGGGTTCAGACTAACCTGAAATTTTACCTGATGCCTGCAAGCAGAAAAGAATAGTTTTTAATTAGATATTCACAGTCAATACATTATGCATTTTATTCCAATGATGTCTGGTTTATAAAGGAATACAAACAGGCACAGTGGTGTTCAGAAGATTTATTAAGGAAACTAGCTAAAACAAGTATGCACATACACTTAGCAGTCAGAAGAAAGAACTGAATATTCTTTGCTACCTCAGTAACGATTTTGTATCTGTTTTGCCAGGTACAAACATAAGAACCCACCTCTGCTCAAAAAAACATTCAGGGAGCTGTATGTTCACGGTTCTGATACACTGAGAAAAAAAGCCTCACTTCACAGTTTTGCTAAGGCCAGAATTTTAGTCCTATAAAAGACCTTGTAATTATCCCCCTCAGATATAATTGATACTTTTGCTCCCAAAACAGTTCTGAAACACTCACGTCTTTTACGTTCTTTCTAGAGATCAACAGTGGGCATGCCTCTGCCAGTCATTCTTGAAGAGACTGAAGCCTTAAAGGCAAGAATGAAATTGGAGTAAATCATACAGTATTGTGGTCAGGGAGAGCCACCAACCCTCTAAGAGAATTGATCTGCAGCACGTTCTTGCAGGGTCTCCCCTGTGGGAGTAGAGAACAATCCTGATGGTTTACGTTAGCCATATGAAAGTGCTATCAGAGATTTGTAAGTTGCCCGGTGCAAATATGTGAATAGGAAACTTGTTTGCTTCCACCACACTGCACTTGAACACCAGATTTCAAGTCACTCCAAGAAGCTTCATAAAGCTACAGAGAAGCTTCATAAAGCAAATGGAAAGAAAGTACCAGCTACTCTTAGAGGTCGAGTCCTTGTTCTAAAGCTCTTTGCTCCTTGACCAAGTTAACAGAAACACAATTTTAGCTAACAAAATACAGACATTAGGTAATTTTTGTTGATTGCAGAGCTCTAGAATTTACAAGTATTATCTGAGACATTCTACACTATCTGCACACTCCAATCACATCTCATACAAAACCTGATGGCAACTGACAGTGCTAACACAGTATTTGCTGTTAAATTGAAAAGGCACGTCAATGTTGTCATGCTTAGAAAAACCACATTATACAGCACTAGATGATAGAAGAATACACAGACATTTCTAGATGTTTCTAGGGTTTTTCTGTCTTTGAAAGGGAATGTGTCCTGACCTATTATTTTTACCTGTTTTCCTAATGTGATTCAAGATAATTTCATTCCTCCTCCATCTTCGTTTAAAATTTTTCACATTAATGTGAACAACCTTCAGAAGTCTAAAAAATAATAGTTGCAATTCAAAACTTAATAGATTCCTAAAAGACACTTGGATGACCTCTTACCAGGTCAAAGATACGGTCAGATTTTTTTCATATCATAGCAGCTATTAGCCTTTTAAGTTTCTAAAAGTTGAACTAAGTTTCTAAAAGTTAATATATCTTAGGCTTAAACAACCTCGACAGTATAAGGTGAATCTACCCTCAATTTTCTTTTCATCCTAAGACAATCAAATATATACTAGAAAGGGAAAGCTAGTTGTTCATAACTATACTTCTGGGTGCTTTTCTCTGCTTTCAGAACATTTACTATTTTCCCTATTGGCTTTAGTATCTGCTGCCCGCCACACGACATGTAAATACATAATTTACAACCATCTGTTTCCAGGTAGATGATTCTGTAGAAAACTAATGCCAGCCACGATTATGGGTAAGTCCAAAAGATGACGGACTCAACTTCCTGTCCTCTGCATCTGAGATAACTAGCTTTTAGCTCAGAAATATATTGATAGTAATTACAAGTTAACCACACTGTGTCACAACAACATATGCTGTCTTGATTCTGTTTTTCAGACTTCCTTCTAGTTTCTCAGTGTTGGAAGTGTCTTGGAGATAATGTGTGCTTTCATTTTAAACACTCATTACCAATATTCAGAAAAAATAGATTTTTTTGCCCAAGTGTTCATGAATGTAAGTTTTTTAAAAATTATATTTGATTTGGATTCAAATATTTATAGATTTACACTATATCTATTTCGTCAAAATATATTGTACAATATTTAATAAAATCAAATACGTAAAATAAAGTTTTCAACACTATTTATACAAACCCCTAGAAAAGCTGCTTTTTCTTTATAAGGCTGTTGGCAATCAATCACAACCATGGAAGAATGAATAACCTTTGGTTGTTTTGCTTTCACCAGGGATGAATGGTAGGACTAAGACTGTTCCGGAGGAGTCATTTCACTTCTGGAAACACGGTTTTATACAATAAATACTTTGAGACTTTTGAGGATCTCAGTCACTTTCAGATTCTTCATCATCACCTACTGGATACGACTGGATATTATTCTGGGTGTACATTTTTGTTTTAATGGGACAGTTGTGATCCATGAGAATAGCCTGAAAGAGAGCAAAGTGCAGATATATTAACCTTGTTCCATAAAGAGAAGATGGTTTTAACCTACCATCTTTAAGGATTACTAGTTGGAAAGCTGTATCTAGCACCACCCACTGTCAACCAGTCCTTTGGTGCAACTGCCGGGTGCCTGGCCCCGAAGCCCCGGGGTTCCACACTCCGGGAGGGTTCCAGGCGAGAGACGGCAGCCATGGTCTCCCCCAGGGCCGTGGTCTCCCCCAGGGCCGTGAAGTCCAGTCGGGGCAACCTGCAAGCCATGAAGCAAGGGCTATGCGGGTCACGTTTAGGAAGAGTTCTATTTAGAATCTTGGAATTGGGGCTGGGGTGAGAAGCGGGTGGGAATCCTGGAGGTCACCCAGTCCAACTGCTATGCACGGATTTCACTGTGGCAACATACCCTCAATGAGGTGGACTCCTCTTGGAAATGTACCTGAGGCTAAACTGCCTCCCTTGTTTCTCTACGTGGATCTGGTTCAGATTCGAGCCATCTTCACAGACTGCCCTGATATTTTAAGACCACTGCCCTGGCCCCTTAGGTTTCCCTACACTCCTCACAGGGCCCCTGTCTTCATAAATGGCATTTCCAGGCACCTCTCCCCAAATCCTGGGTGTTCTCCTCTTGCTCAAATGGAGGTTTTAAAACAAAACACAAAAAGACAGTGTCATGAACATACAAATCGTGTGCCTTCTCATTGTTACTGAAAAAACAGCCCATTGATCCTCAGTAAGTCCTGGTAATCATTATTCCTCTTGAACATGTGCAGACCAAGCCCGCTGTCTGAGAATACAGCTGCCCTGATCCTGTCAGGCCCGTGCCGGCAGCCTTGCTGCAAGACCTCAGCTTCACGAGCGCCCTAGGTGGTAGGCCCATAACCCCCTGCATAGGCACAGCAATTAAAGAACATGACCATGGGGCGTACAGCTAGAATGGGGCAGATGTGCGCCAGATGGCCTTGTGCCGAAGTCTGTTCCTGCTGGCGGGGGTGGGGGGGGGGGGGACAGGGAACAGAGCACTGGGTACAACTAACGGATTCTCCCACCAGCTGTGCCTTCTGGAGTCTTCCTCCACATAAACTATTCCCCCAATACCTTTTTATGCAGCATGAAAATCTACTTGGAAACATCTATCTGTTAAAATTTATCTCATGTTGGCCTACGGCAACCTATCTCGGTGTTTTGTCAGCTACGCCCCCCAGGTCTTGCCCCATACATTTGATAACTTCTATGACTCCACTCAGTGCTAACCCATTTATCATTTCCTGAGATTCTAAAATGATCTGCCTGGGTGACATGTTAAGATAATGACTTCCTTGACCCTCTAAGTCAGGCTGCCAGCTCAAATCGTCAGCTGCAAATTTAATTTTTTTTTTATGCTTCGTGCCAAGTGAATTAATACATGTATTTAATAAAGAGCTCAATTTCCAAAACTCAGTAACTGATGCAACAGACATTGTCCACAAGGACCATTCTCCCCATATGGATGTATCCTTGTTACACAAACGGTTTAACCTCCAAAGATCTCAACGTCTCACCTCTACAGGGTAGTGATCCTCAAAGAAACATGCACAATAATCACCTGGGGGTGAGGGGGTTAAACCTGAAATTCAGGTCCCTAACCCTTCATGACCGTGGTGTCAACATGCTATGAGAAGCACTGCCTTGGTGATACAGTATTATCTAGAACTACAGCAGAGCCCAATGGCTACCAACAGCCTGCTGGGCACCTGCTGCTGTCCCCCTAAGGTCCTATCCCAGCACCTCCGTGACTTCCCCGCAAGGGAAAGACAGGTCCCACAGCATGCACAGGTGGGTGAAGTGTTCAGGGACAGCTGTATGGAGGAGATGGGGCACGAGCTGAACCTGGAAGGATGGGAAGGATGGGCACAGCAAAGGAGCTGTGAGCACAGTATGAATTATCTACTCAACGAGCCACTATGTAAAACAGGGCCACGGGCGCCTGGGTGGCTCAGTCGGTTAAGCGGCTCTCAATTTCGGCTCAGGTCATGATCTCAGAGGGTCATGGGATTGAGCCCCACATTGGGCTCCACACTCAGCGAGCAGTCTGCTTGGGCTTCTCTCTCTCCCTCTCCCTCTGACCACCTCCCCCAACTAGCACACTTGCTCTCTCTCTCTCTCTCTCAAAAAGAACATAAAAATAATAAAATAAAAACAGAGACACTAAGTGAGCCAGCCTGACCACCACAGAGGTCTGATGTTGAGGTACACAGACCTTCATTAGAAAGACCAACCAGAACCAGACTGCAGGGCCCTGAATGCCAGGCAAGGGGCCTCGATCCCTGACCCACAGGCAGCAAGAGCCTTGGGAAGGATGGCCATCATTCTACCCGTCTCATAACTGCCCTCTCTTGGTTCACCCCCTTAGACCTGACTCTGCATATATGTAGACTTCTTAAGGACCCAGAAACCTAACACTGGGCACCTAGTACGGACTCAAACAGCTGTGTTGCAAGGGAAGTTCAGACTGATGATAGGAGCATCGAACAGACTTCAGTGGTCAGAAGTTATCAGTGCAGCCAAATCATATTTGCACACAAAGCCTATTCCAGATAAGTAAGTTTTCTTTCTTGAAATATTGCTTTGTAGCTTTTAAAACCTAGCTTACTGGCTTCCGAACCTCTTTTGAAAGAATGTGTGACACCTGCTTTTATAACAAGTTATATGTGATCAAATAAGCCAGACGGCATCTGTAATATTCCCAAAGAGCCAGGGACAGAGAGGGGTGAACAGGAGAGAGTGGGTAAGTCAAGCGCGCGCATAGGGGCCACGAGGAGCGCGGCTCATGGAGCCGCCAGGTAATTTAAGCCAGCACTCTGCTGGGGAACAAGGTGTGTCGGACTCTCCACCGAAGACAACAGAGGAAGGAGGAGGGGGTCTGAATTCTGAGCAGAGCCCAGTTACTGAGAACTGAACCGCTGCCAAGCGCCTGGCTTCCTACCAGACACAGAGCAGAGTGAGGCTCTCCAAAGTGGTAAAAGCCTTGTTGGACCAAATGACGTATATAAATTAAATACACAGCAGGATACTCAGACAGGAAAAGCATTGAAGCATAAGCCCCTCCAGGCTTGGAGATTTTGAGATACACCAGGCCTGTATGCTGAAAAGTTTTATTTACTGTATCTAAAAAAAAAAAAAAAATATTTAGTGATGGTTGTGCATACCCACTATGTAAATGCCCTGCAAAGGGACACATTTCTGTAAATAGATTGTAACATGCAGGTCTTTGCCTGGCCCCTGCATTCTGGAAACAGTAGCAGGAAGGACTCTCTGGAAACAACTATGAGAGAGCCAAGAGTCACTCAGGAAAACAAGCTGCGATCTCAAACACCGACCTTCCTGTCTGGCCCACAACCAGAAACTTTAAGAGTAAGATGTAAGAAACGTGCCCTATCTTCAAAAATAATTCTTCAACCTGAAAAAATATCCATACCAGCACACAGCTGTTCTCAACTGGGTATTCTGAGAATCACAGGCTGCACGTCATTGTCGTGTACCTAAAACACAGTTGTCCTCACATGGCAGCGTGGATGTTTCTTATACTTGCAAAGGGACCTGAGTAACAAACAGGTTTTTTTCTCCCTCTGTACTTATGAAAGGGAGGGAGGGAGGGAGGGAAAGAGAAAGAGAAAGAGAGAGGGAGAGGACAGGAAAGGAAGAAAGAAGGAAATCAAGTACACCAAATAGAAAAAAAACACTCAAGTGCTCACAAACTAGTTCATGATTCTACGACTGGGGACCCATGAAAACAGCATTTGATCCTTCAATATAAAATAGCTGAAGCCCAAATGCCTCATTATCAGAGCGTTGCCTAATGAAAGAATTAATTGCTACGGTTTATAGGCCTTCTTCAGGCTCTCCTGTCCCCATCTGCATCTGGTAACTGCTCATCCTGAACGCCAGCCCTGGTTGGGATTGGATTTTCTCAAGCGGGCAGTAATCACTTCTGTCCCCTCCGTGGCACACTGCCAGCCCGACCTCCCCCCCCCCCCCCCCCCCAATCATTAGGTTGCTTCCTGCTCCGTGAGTAGGCAGCCGCCGCCGGCCACCCACAAAGGCTACCATCCCATGGGGCAAACGGAATCCAGTGTGATACCTTCGATCACGGGCAGCAATTACGGGCGGCGAGATGCGCGTTTTCTCAAGTTTTTAAGGATTCCTCTTGCTAGGCATGCATTAAGGATTTTGACATTTTACAGTGAAAGTGGCTTTCTGGAAGCCTGCAATTCTTGTTGCTTTGCCTCTCAAGATCGTCTCTTTCACTTCCTGGGCATTGTCAAGTGAACTAAAGCACGGATTTACATGAGGGAAGAGAAGAGGCACCAGGGACCTGCCTCCTGCCCGGCGTCATGTGGACCCCCACGGTGGCAGCTGGTGGGCAGGCTGATCCCCCAGCTCATCCTCGGACCTCGCTCATCTCGCTCATTTCCTCCGACGCCCCAGATAAGCCATCGCGCTGCTGCCGACACACAGATAACCCAACAGCCACTAACGTCCGCTGCTTGGCCAGGGAAACCCATTCAGCAGTCCTGGGGTCTCAGTAGCCAAAGGAAGCACTCACCTCACAGAGGGGACAAAGGGACAATAGCAGGGGCCCTCTGGGCGGACAGTAAATCAGAGCATTCAGTAAAAGCAAGAAAGAAGTATAGGGTGGTACTGGAAATAGTAACACATTTGCTGAATGAACATTTCCTGTGTGCTAAGCACGGGGCTAAGCACCCTGTGGGATTCTCCTCCGAATGCTCCCAGCCAGCCAGTGAGGCAGACGCGGTCATTTCCGCATGGGACAGTTTGGCTCCAGGGCCATGCCAGCCCTTCACTATCTCCCAAGAATCGTAAACAGTCTCCTGGGTGACAGGAGCATTCGTAGGTGATTTGTCTTTTGTTGGTCAAAAAGGGGTGGGAGTAACCTTCCTTCAGCCTTAATCAAATTGATATGGGGGCAACAGAATGACAGTTTTTAGTTGTTGCACTGAGAGTTTTCTGACCCTGATTTGGGCAAGGCACTGTGTGGGGGTCAGGCCGGGAGACAGGTCAGATGATCAATAAAGCACTATGGTTGTTCAGCATCTAAGCAAGAGGAAGGAAGAAAGGGTGGTTTCCACCGGGGTATTTCCACAACACCTTCCACTCCTTTTCTTTGCATCGAACAGGTCCTGAGTGATTCAAAATTACCGCTTTACATCCTGTATAATAAAGGGCATAAGACCAGTGCCCAATGCAGAATATATTTTTTAAATATATTGAAGGAATTAATGAATACAAAGAATGCTCCAAACAAATAAAGGCTGCACATGGCCTAACTTTAGAATCTGTGTCTTTTGCCTGGCCCCTGCATTCTGGAAACAGTAGCAGGAAGGACTCTCTGGAAACAACTATGAGAGAGCCAAGAGTCACTCAGGAAAACAAGCTGCGATCTCAAACACCGACCTTCCTGTCTGGCCCACAACCAGAAACTTTAAGAGTAAGATGTAAGAAACGTGCCCTATCTTCAAAAATAATTCTTCAACCTGAAAAAATATCCATACCAGCACACAGCTGTTCTCAACTGGGTATTCTGAGAATCACAGGCTGCACGTCATTGTTGTGTACCTAAAACACAGTTGTCCTCACATGGCAGCGTGGATGTTTCTTATACTTGCAAAGGGACCTGAGTAACAAACAGGTTTTTTTCTCCCTCTGTACTTATGAAAGGGAGGGAGGGAGGGAGGGAAAGAGAAAGAGAAAGAGAGAGGGAGAGGACAGGAAAGGAAGAAAGAAGGAAATCAAGTACACCAAATAGAAAAAAAACACTCAAGTGCTCACAAACTAGTTCATGATTCTACGACTGGGGACCCATGAAAACAGCATTTGATCCTTCAATATAAAATAGCTGAAGCCCAAATGCCTCATTATCAGAGCGTTGCCTAATGAAAGAATTAATTGCTACGGTTTATAGGCCTTCTTCAGGCTCTCCTGTCCCCATCTGCATCTGGTAACTGCTCATCCTGAACGCCAGC